GTAAAAATATTAAATTTAAAAAAAAAAAAAAAAAAAAAAATCTCCAGTGTATCATAATCAGCACTGTAAAAAAGCTACTTTAACTTTAGTTGCTGTCTTAATTTTTTTTAAGTCTAATCAAATTGGCTGTACAAGTCATTTAAATTCATTTATTTTTTCAGTTAATTTATATTAAACTCAGATAAAAATCTAATTAGATAATGTTGTATAACTTTAACAATTAGGTTGAAATCGGAAAAACATGTGCAACAATTTTAAACCTGAACTGATTTCAGAAACAGATTTTTTTACAGATATTTTTATTGAAATATCAGTTGTAAATGTCATAAATTGCACAAAATTAATCAGAAGATCCAGTAACTTTACTACTTTTGCAATATTAATATTAATACTTTTTTTCTCTCGTCTTTCACAGTCCGTAACGCCACAGCTGCAATGTAAAAATACATATATTTTTTCAAAGTTGTAAATAACACAGATAAAGTACGTTAAAAAAATTGTATTTCAGTCTTCCTACTTCAAAAAAAGTAAATCACATTGAATTCTGTTTCTTGTATTTTTTGTAATTATTTGTGAAATTTACTAGCAATTTCTGAGTGAAAATGGTTTCTACACAGTGTATCACACTGTACATTTTAAGTATGATCAAATTGCCTGTAAAATTCATTTCTTTTTCAGTTCATTGAAATTACATTAAACAGAGTTAGAAAATCTAGCTTAAAAAATATTATAAATTATATTGATGAGGTAAAGTAATGGACAATTTTTCAAGTGCAATAATGTTAAAACTGAGCTGATTCCAGAAACAAATTCTTTTATATGATATTTTTATTGAAATATCGATCCAAAATTCCACTAATTCATGAGAAGTTCCAGTAACTTTATTATAATTTGGAGGAATAAACAGCTTATTGCTTTTGCAATATTAATAGTAATATTTTCTTCACTCTTGTTTCACAGTATTTAGTGACACAACTGTATGCATGCAATTTCACAAACAAAGTTTTGCAGAAAATTCTCTCAATGAACATGAATCTCATTTCTCCTGTTGTACTCAGCCATCAAACGCCTCCGGATCCCAGCAGACGGGAATCGTCTTACCTTGCACAGCATCAGGAGGAACATAGCATCGGACATGCTGAGCGGGACCGTCTTTCTGAAACACACACACATCCCTGGCCGTATCCCATCATCCTTTAGCTGGGAGGGAGTTCCAGATTGATGGAGAGAGGCTGTGTTTTCTCGCGGCACTCCAGTGTTTTCCTGCCCAGTTTCATCTCACTTGTTCCCGAGTTGAGCTGTCATGAGCTCCTCGTGCAAAACACTGTCTCTCTTTTTTTCTTGTGTGGATGAACAGATGAGAGAGGGTGGTTCAGTTACCGGCGGTACCTCTTTTTATTTAGCCAAAGCCCCGTTAACCAACTCCATGAGCTCTTTTCTTGGATTCTCAGTCCTAAACTTCAGGTGTTCAAAGAGTTCCTGACCTCGTTCTGCTTGTCCGAGGTTAAAAAGATGATCAAATCTGGGACGTTAAGTGCCTTAGAGTGCTAAAGTGATGTTTTGAGCTGCGAAGCCTTGAGCGTGTGTTCTCAGACAGACGAGAGCGCTCGTGTTTGGTGGGAGTCGCACCGCCCAGCACTGATGCTCCAGAGGCAGAAGACTTCTCCTGATTCCCTCCAACTCGCATATCAATGCAGTGCAGGTTGCCTGGCAACCGTCTCAGCACCGCCACACAACGCCTGATGACAAGAAACGTTTATGACAGCGGCCTTTATGAGGGGGAGGGTCTCTCTGCTTTTAATGCTCTCACCATCTGCTGGGAGCTGTCAGCGTTACCAGAGGTGCGCGAGGAACCCGAAACCTACCCTCAGCACCGCCGTCGCTTACCCAGCATCCTCTGCTCTCTGTGGAAACACTTTTCTCAAAGCAGGGATACGACAATACCGTTAACAAATACGCCGGAATTTTCTTTTAATACATAATGCTCTGTTTGTTTTTAAACAAACGAGCAAAGAACAGCAAATGAGAATTCTAATTTACAGGAAGGAAGAGAAAACATAATTTGGATTACAATGGTGTTTCTACATTACAGTCTCATTGCGAGAAACTCAAAATGATACCACGGCATTTGTGCCACTTTTAGGTAATCAATAGCATGAATTATATTGCTTTTATACAACATTTCAATAAACAATAAGTAAATATTGAGTAACTTACATTTTAGACACTGTTAGTTTGTGTATTTTTCTCTGCCAATGAAAACAGTTCCGTATTAAACAAAGCCAAAGCAGAATTTCTCAGAGCAGTTTACTGAATGATTCAGTATTTTGAACAAATCGGTTTAGTGAATGATTCAATGACTCAATCACTCATGTTTTTACTTTCCAAATGATTCAGAATTTTGAACAAATCAACTGATTGAATGATTCAAAACAGTCACTTTTCACCACCTATTAGTGTAATGATGTAACTTGCATTGAAAATCTCTAGACAATCATATATTCTCTATATATAACCTCATTGCTTTGCAGTATACTTTATTGTCCCTAAAAGGGAAATTTTAAGTTAACTCAATAGCCAACATCACCTTATAAGCCTAAAAATATAAAAAATATACCATACGCACAAAACAATATAAATCAATACACGCTCACACAAATATCTAAGTTAAAAAATGCAAATGCTTTGTATGTAATTAGTTGCAGTGTATTTTTAGTCTATCTTACTTAATTTTGATACATGCTAAAATAATGGATCACGTTATATGCAAACACAAATTACATGTGTTTCCATTAGTCAAAAATGATAGAATAGACTATATTTTTTCCCCTAATCAAAAACTAATACTGTAGTGCTGCTTAAATAGGTTTCATTTTTAATTGTATGACACCAATCAAAGTCAGGCTTCTGCTCCATAACGTTAATACAAATCAGATAACTTCATAGTCCAAGCTTACTGATCCTTGATCTGATTAAATGTATGCATTACACAAATTGTACGTCCAACATTTTTAAATGCACGATAATTCATTAGGATGTTAATGGAAAAGTTTAGCATAGAAAAAAAAAAAATCTAAACAAATTGGCTTGAGCTTGCTTTTCTATCGCCCATGCAATGGCCTGGAATAGACGGCAATAAAAATGAAAATGCAAAGGAAACAGTTGCCCGACTAAAATCACTAGCACGCATAATTTTATTGCTTACTCTGTGTCCTCTCCTGTCTGAGATGAACTTACTTCAAACAACTTTCACCGCTACATTTATAACAATTAATTAAATAGACTCTGAACAAACTGCTGTTTTAATCGCGCAGGACTGATTTAGAAATGCAGCTCAGCCAAAATCCATGCATGCCATGTTGTTTAAAAAAACAGTTGTTGTTTTCAGAGCTGTGGGACTCACCTGCCCGTGCCTGCGTCGACCCACGCAGCAGAAAGAAGTTTGCATGTGTTTGCAGAATAAAGACAACAGGACCTTGAAAATGGCCCAGAGCAATGCGATTAGTCCATTCATTCTAAGTGTTTCTGACCAAGTTGAAAAGGGCATTGCAGACATTAAGCACTGGCTCAGGAGAAGAGGAGAGGGAACTGGCCATCTACAGCGAGCAGCACAATTTTCACTTGGCCAAATATAAAAACACTGACCTTGCTGCAAAACCGTAAAAAGCTACCATAGACGTTTCAGGCCTCTATCCTGGAGTGTTTCAAAAAACATGGGACACTGGAAACACTTTTAACCAGGAGAACGGATACAGTCAGTACAGTATTATCTTCTAATGCAGTGCATCTCAACTGGTTTCGCTTCAGGACCCAGGTTTTTTTATGATACAAAGTTGAATTTCAATGTTTTCATGCTTTCAGCAGCCAATAATTCACCTCACAAAGCACAAAATGCATCCTTACCATATGTACAGTAATGTAGTCTGGATCTACCTTTGTAGTTTTGTTTCTGGATTTTGAGGGTGATGAAATGTCAAATGTCACAAGTGATCAAAATACCATAGAATTTGATTGGCACATGACCTTTGACATCAGCAACAAAAAATATAGAAGCATTTGGAAAACATATGGAAGATTTTTTCCTCTTTTAAAATAAACACTATTCATTTAGCTTATTTAACATTTTATTTATTTTGCATTTAATATTTTATTTGATTTCAGCTTTATTTCAATTAACAAAGATGTTTAGGTTTAGTTAACATTAATGACCCTGGAATAGACTAGAAATAAATGATCAATAACTGCAGTCCTAAAGGTCAGTAAATTCCATTCAGTTTAAACTATAAGATTTAATTGATATTGATAAGAGCAAATTATGCACATTCTCACAGACCCAAACAAAAAATTGACCATGACCTAAAAAACCATACTTTATTTCAGCCAGTTGCCAAGACTACATTTCTCAGTTTCATTGTTTAACTTGAAGTAAAGTAAAAATAAACATAATAAATATAAATGAATGAATTAAATAATGAAAATGACAAAAAAAGCAACAAAAAAATGTTAAGATTAACTTTAAAACATGAAAGTGAAAATTGAAAACATAATTTAATCTAATTCAAAATTAAATGTAATTTTTATTTTATTATATTTTGCAAACTTAGAAGTCAACTCTGCAATGGATATTAAAATCCAAAATATAGTGAAAACACTATTAATTAGCTAACAAGATCGGCAGTTTAAGACATTAACACAAGATACTTCTCTTTTCAATATGAATAAGACTTTAGACTTAATTGGATAAATCTAAGACAATATAAACTAACCTAACACATGAACACACGCACTCACACATTCATACAAGTTGCAGGAAGACAGAAAGTGAGGAAAGAATGAGTTTAAGAGAATGAAAATGTGAAATCCCAAGGTTATCGCAATATGTGCAATTGCATAGACCTGAACAACCATCAATCACTTAATTAACCCTCGCATTGAGTTCATCAATGAGGTTACAATTTATATTAAATGCACCAGTTCAGCTCAGCTAGAATCTGGATGTACTTGCGTTGCCTGTATAAGGGGTTCCCTTTGTTGTCTCCATTGCCGAAAGGGGGTTTCCCGAGGTTGCTGATTGGCTGGAAGTTCAGTAGTCGTTGAAGTGACGTCTTGGGAAGCCAGTGGTTGGGCGTTGGCTGAAGATGCGGAGTTGTGGGCTGGTTGAAGTTTTGAGGCGGTCACAGACTCGAGGTGAACTCGGAGACACGGCGTTGCGGCAAAACTCACAACACGAAACTCTCTACGGAAAAGAAAAGCAAGTAAAGTAGAAGCCAGCAAGAAGAGTGACGAGACTAGATGGCATATCTCCTCATGGTTTTAGAGGAGCAGCTGGCATGTAAGCCAGAACACGCTCAAAGAGTACTAAAAAGCAGTGGTGGCAAAAAGGCTAAGCGCAAAAAGCAGTGGCAAAAAGCATAATTTGACGGTGTCCTGAGTATTTAAACGTGGCTGTTGGACACATCCCAAATGGTGTCTTGACCAATTAGACATTACATGATTTCTATAACAAGAATATAATACATTTTACAAAGTATTGATTGATAGAAACGTTTAAAGCATGAACTTTTAAACTCATACATACCCAACATGAATATAAACCTATAAACTGTTCAATAGTTATTCAAAAGAAATACACAACCAGTTATTAGGACATGATAGTCAAATGTGTGGGTTACATACATAATATGGAGTTATGCATAGAAATGATTAGTTGCTCATAAGACCTTTTAGCATCATTTTGGTTCATCTACATCTGTAAAAGACAGTTTCACTGTCGTTCTGTGAATGTGAGCTGTGCTTTGTGAGGAACAAAAAGGTTAAAAGGTCTCTTAAGGAATCTCAGTCTGGTTCTCATTAAGAATTTCAGTCTGGTTCTTGTCCTCTAGGTGGGGGGGGGAGTCAATCCGAAGAAAGTCTTTAGCTCTGTGATTACTATCATGGATTTACATGTGATGGTCATGCTGTGCATCTCTTTGACCATCAATCTTGGTTATTTGCCCCAAATTTGACAATCTCCTTCCTGAGTTGGAATTGTCAATAAGTGTTATTTTGTTTAATGCTAGTTCGTTAGGCTTACTTCAGACTCGTGGCGCCAGGGTATCGTGGAGAGATTTATGACGTTATATTATCCTGGGCCTCTTTGTGGAATTTGGCTCTCTGGGTAGTTCCAACACCAATCTGATCGAAACTTAAATTGTCTGATTTGCTCTGATAACCTACATCGCATTTGCAAATAACCCAATATTCTTCTTGAAAGTCCTAGGTAGGATGTAACATCTGTAGAATTATGCCTAGAATTAAAGTCGACTGTAATTCCTTGTAAGTTGTAATTGCTGTATTTTCCTGCTTACTTTGCAATGTAATGGTTGCTTTTCTGAAATGAGGCAGACAAATGCCACCTCGAATGAAACGAGTCC